GTTTGTTGGCTTCTAACCGTAAAAAAATCCTCTCACGCTATGTTGTCCTAATACTCCACACCAATATAGCAAAAAAACTATGATCATCTATATTGCCAGACAAAATGACCGTGAGCCACAAAGTCCTTAAAACCATGCAAATTCCATTCATCACGAACTTCCACCCACCCTCTAGACTCCCGTATTTCTTGTGGCTTTTCATATTCCCAAATGACGTGCAGCATTGTCTCCATTGCTATACCACGCTTACAACACACCGGTGATGTGATCAGTTGAAAATATAGGGTTTATTAGAATTCTCTATAATCTCACAATTCTCAGAATACTACTTCAATAATTTATTATTCTCCATAAGGGGGTATTTATAAGATTACAAATAAGCAATAGTAGGAAATAAATCAAAACGATCATTTGTCTACAAGACAAGGAAACCTAGACCAAATCAAAGCATATCAAAACCCTAATTAAATCATATAAAATCACTAATCAAACCAAATCCTAAAATACTTTCCTTTTTATTTTCCAACACCCCCTCTCAAACTCATGATGCGAAATCATGAGTTTGCCAAGAAGGAAATCTTCATTGATACTCTAAAACTAACGCCAATATTTTCAAAAGTTCAGCAAATCACAATCTGTCAGAATTAATGCCTTTTTTCGAATGCCCGGTTGGAACTAGCGTCAATCTTAACAAACGTCTCTTTTCGAAAGCCCAACGAACAAATCATAAACTTCAGAACTAACACATCTTTTCGAAAACCCAACTGGAACTAACGCTGATCTTTTTGAAAGCCCAATTAAAACTAACTCCTTTTTTAGAAAGCCCGATAAATAAATCTCTTAATATGTTGGAAACAACGCCTCTTTTCGAAAGTCTAGTTGGAACAAACGCTAATCTTTTCAAAAGACCCAACCACCAAATATCTCTTTTTTTATAGGGTAAATTACACAAAACTGCCTCAACTATTAGGCCAATCACAGTTTCATACCTCATCTTTAAACCATTTCAATGTCATGCCTTATCTTCGAATTTGTTGCAGTGTCATACCTTCCGTTAGTTTGTTTGTCAATTCCTCCGTTAAATGTTGATGTGGCTTGAGGCGGGGCCCACTCCCTATAAAAAAATTAATTAAATATTAAAAACTAAAAATAAAATTATTTAATAATTTTTTTAAATGGGGGACCCACCCCTACAAATCACCTTTCTTCCCCATCCACACGTATCCACCCCCTAACCTTCCTTCACCACCAAAACTAGAACCTCACCACCACCCTCTCTTCCTCCATCTCCACCTCCCTCCCAAGGCGCTCCTCCCCCACCCCCTTTTCCTTTTCCTCCACCACATTTTGCTCTAATCCCTACTGATGCACCCTCATTGTCCTCAAGGATGAGATTGCCCACATGAAAATCCCAAAAATTTCACAGTTTGATCCGCCATGAACGGCAACCAAATAGCATAAACTATGGGTGGGTTCTGTTCGTGGCACCGAGAGCAGTGGAACGGTGGTGGTGGTGACGATGACGGTGCTTGCCGCCAGAGTTTGCCGTAAACTCACCTGGAAAAAGAAAACCAACAATGCCGAGCCTTTTCGTCTTAGTCACCATCCTTACACTCCTCCTCCTCCTCTGCCTCTTATTCTCTCTGGAATCCCCAACACATCGTCGTTTCTTGGTGCTCCTCGACGACCATTCTCTCTAGTCATCTCACTTCATCTTCTTCCACTCCCACATCTCCCGCAACTCCGATCTCGACTTCAAGCTCGCCGAAGACCCAAGCTATTGCTCCAGCGCTATGGCCAATACTTATACAACGACCTCGTTCTCTTCTCCCCCTCTGCCCACATTAAGTTCATGGATCAGAAATTCAGAAATCAGAATCACCACATTTTGCTTAATTTCTTGATTTACGTTGAAATGTGATTTGATTTAGTTGGGATTTAAGGTTTTGGATAAGCTTTGGATGTGCAATCTGTGCTCGATTTCGTTGACATTGGGCATAACTTGATCTTGGTGGCTGATGCCTCTGCATCTGATTTGGCTTTGTAGAGATGGAGGAAGAGGAGGAGGGGGATGAGCAACATGGGAGGGAGGTGGAGATGGAGGAAGAAAGGGCGACGGTGGGGTTCTGGTTTTGGTGGTGAAGGAAGGTTGGGGGAGACACGGGTGGATGGGGAAGAAGCGGTGATGGGTTTGTAGAGGTGGGTCCCCTATTAAAAAAATTAAAAAATTTTATTTTTTTAGTTTTTAATATTTAAATATTATTTTTTTTATTTTTTTAATAGGGAGTGGGCCCCACCTCAAGTCACGTCAGCATTTAACGGAAGAATTGACAAACAAACTAACGGAAGGTATAACATTGCAACAAATTCGAAGATAAGGTATGCCATTGAAATGTTTTAAAGATGGGGTATGAAACTATGATTCCAAAATTAGATTAACTGAAATCAACCCAATTAAGTCCAAATTTTAATGCTCGCAAGTGTACGAATCGTAAAGTAGTATAGTAGGCAAGCACAAGATCGTTCCAACTAAGATTGAAATAATTCTAATTATCTAACTTAATTTGTATTGCACTTGAATTGAAATGGAAAAATTGATGATTTGAGAAAGAAATTTGAAATTGTAAACGTAAACAAAAATCAAATGAGCTTAAATAAATGACAATAACAACAAAGAAATCAAAATATAAATCAATTGCGAAAGACACTAGAGCATCCGATTCACCATAACCAATCCAACTCAATTTCCACAGTTAGTTATTAATGAGTAATCATCCAAATTGACGGTCTAGTTCCTCTAATTCATATAGTATCCATGGCATCTAGATTACTATGTATAATCATATGTGCTAACAATCTATGGCATCTAGATTACTAAACACACAAGAGTTCATTAACGATTTGAGAACTACTTAAGAGACCGCATGAAACCTAGTGTATGACGTCTGCATCAAGGAATTCATGGTACCATTTGCAAGACGCTAAAACCATATTAACAACATAGTATATGCGTTAACTCGCATCACATACACTCAACTCAAACCAAAGTGGTGGCCAATCACCAAGATTAAAATCAAGCTCATAAGCACAGCAAAATGATACTCAAAATGATCATGAGATTTCATAAATAATTAAACTGAGAAATTAAGAATTCATAGTTAGGCTACATCGTAGCCCTAGGGAAAAGAAATTAATTCCAGAACATAATCGAAAATATTATTAAATTCATAAAATTTAAAAAAAAAAAAAAGTCTAGAAAAGCCTGAAAATCTCTTGCTTGGCCACACTACCCTTCTTCCCCTTGATTCTCTACCTCTCGCAACTTTTTTCTCCTTTTTTTTTTTCTTATTTGCTTGCTTCTCTTTTTTTTTTTTTTTTTTCCTCTTGAATCATCATTAATGATTAACCTCATTATTGATATATTAATACCAAAACCAGCCGTTCCTTCTTCTCCTGCTTGTTCAGCCTTTCCTTTTTGCTTCATTCCTTTTTCGTAACCGAACATTTATAGCCCATTTATCGTGCACAATAAAAGAGAAAACAAAAGGATGAAACTTCTTGCGAGCCACTCTTTATGATTAAACACCTCCATTGATTTCTCAATTTAATAACGCCTCCACTCCACTTTGTTGCCTTCTTCACTTATATGCACAGTCAAACTCCTCACCAATCGAACAAGCCGAGCAGCCATATATCCAAATTTATGATCTTGTCGAAGACCCACGCATTGGTAGCTGATTTTAGTAGGTGACCTTTCTTCTAATTTGGTGCGGCTAACCCTTGAGAGAGACAAATATAACCCCTTTTATTTCTCCTGTTCGTACAATTGAAAGGATAATGGCACATGCATTACTTTATCATCTACATAACATTTAAATAAAATATATGTATTATTATGAAACCCAAAAAGAAAAGCATATGATCATCTTAAATATGCTAGAAGCATACATGGTCAATTTACTTAAACAAAATATCGAGAAAAAAATCATACTTGACCCATTTAATACTATAATAATCGATGAGATCCAATATAATTTTTTCATCTTGTCAATCTAGCCAGAGAACACAAAACCATGTAATTCCTTTCATTTAAATCAAATATATCGTAAGAAAATGTAGCTTTCAGGGTAAAATAAGTAGTAAAATAGATGCTCAACAATTGGCCTAATAGTTAAGATAGTTTTGTGTAATTTACCATTTTTTATATCTTTTTTCTCTTTTTTTTTTCCTTCTTTTTTCTCTCCTTCATGGCAGTGGAAATTTATCTTCTTCTAAACAATCTTCACCCTCATGTTCATAGCATGCGGGTACACAAAGAAAATTAGCTTCGTGCACCCACAGGGAAGCGCTCACTGCACAGTTCAACCAATAATCGAACTCTGTTTTGATACCAAGTTGAAAACAAAAGGTTTATGATAAATTAGAATTCTCTACAATCTCACAATTCTCAAAATACTACTTCAATAATTTATTCTTCTCCATAATGAGGTATTTATATAAAATTACAAAGGAGCAATACTAGAAAATAAATCAAAACAAAGAAGCAATGCTAGAAAATAAATCAAAACAATCCTGTCTACGAGACAAAGAAACTTGGACCAAATCAAATCATATCGAAACCCTAATTAAATCATATAAAATTACTAATTAAATAAAATCCTAAGATACTTTCATTTTTATTTTCCAACAAGATGAACTTTTTTTGAAAAGTTACCATGTTACAAGGGACAAAGTTATCATATCTCTCCACATCAAGAACTTGATTTTATCTGTACCCTAAAAGCTCAAATATTGCGCCACACGTTTAAATCTCTACCACTAGACACTTTTTTTTTTTTTTGAAAACCTGCTTCCATTAAAACCGGGCCGAAGCCACAAAACAACAGAAGCACAAACAGAGCAAGCCACAAAGGCAACCACAAACAAAAGCAAAGGAGGGGGATCAACACAGCAGACCCATACCAAAGATACAGTCACCCCCGCCCCGGCCAAAACAAAAATTAATGGGGGCATGGTAACCCATCCTTGTTAAGAACACGGACCAGCGAAGATGGAGGGAGGTTTACCCAATTCACACCGCACATCTCCAGATTACTTCTCGACGCCAAAACATGCGCCGCCAAATTGGCCGATCTCGGAACCCAAGACCAGCGACAATCCTGAAAGGTCCCCCCAATACGCAACGCTTTCGAGATATCGGGGAAGGCCTCCCAGCTGCCCCTCGAATAACCCTGAGATAAACAAAGGATATTCTCCTTAGAGTCGGACTCCACAATGATGTTGTCCAACCCCAACGCATTTGCCAACTCACACCCACGCAAAATTGCAGCAGCCTCAGCAGCAGCCGCACTAAGCGCCCCAATCCTTCCTCGAGTAGCAGCCACAAACTTCCCCTCATGATCCCGAATCACCACACCCACAAACCCGCATCTAGAATTGGCCTCCCAGCTCGCATCCACATTCACCTTCAAAAATGGACCACACGGAGGATCCCAGCGGGCAGGAGGACTAGAGCGATTCAGAACCCGCTGAGGACAGCCAGCAGAGCCTTCAGTCGCCTCCAAAAAAGCATTCACCGAAGTCCAAATAGCCAAAATGACTCGATTAGGATTAATCCCCATGTGATCAAAAACAAAGCTACACCGGGTTTTCCAAATATGCCAGCATGTTACAGCCACAAACTTTAAAATCCTAGCAATCTCATCCTGTGAACCCAAGTTAGACCCGACTAAATACATAACCCAGTCACGAAGAGACGAGATATTTGCTCTACTCACCCTGTAATTCAGCGGGCCACCAAACCAAATCGGCTCAACCCACGGACATAGAAGGAGCATGTGCTCAACAGATTCATTCTGGTCGGAGCATATCGGGCAACGCGGGGATGGAGAACAACGACGTATGAACAGATTCTCCATCGTTGCCACCGCCCAATTTAGAGCCCGCCACATAAAGTTCCGGATCTTCGGAGGAGTCTTCAGCTGCCAAATACTTCTCCAAACTTTGTTCGGGATCATAGGGGAAGAAGAGGAGGCTCTGTCAATCCTATTGCTCGAGCTAGCATGCTTCCAATGATATCCAGATCTCACCGAATACACCCCATTCTTAGTAGCCGGCCAAATTATCCTATCCTCCTGAGATCTGTCTCCTATGGATGTTTCCAGAATGGCATCATGATCCTCCACCGATATAAGAGGCCTAATGGCCTCGATATTCCAGGTTCCGGACACATCATTAATCATTGTATTCACCCGCATATTCCGAGACACTCTTACATCTCCAATGGCCGTAGGTTTCCCAGCAGTGATAGTCGGCACCCACCTATCTTGCCACAACCTGATACTTCTTCCATTCATAATCTGCCAATGAGCTCCTTCCTGAAGAATCCCACGCCCCACCAACAAACTTGACCATCCCCAAGAAGCTCTTCCCCCCAAAGTCGCTTTCAGGAACGAGCAGTGAGGAAAATAACGGGCTTTAAGAATCCGCGCCCATAGCGAGTTTGGATCATGTATCAATCTCCAGCACTGTTTAGCAAGCAAAGCATCATTAAATTCTTGAAAATTTCGGAACCCCATACCTCCTTCCAGCTTCGGATATCCCAACATATCCCGAGAGACCCAGTGTATGCTTTTCTCCCCCCCTGTCTTCCCCCACCAAAACTCAGCAATTACAGCGTCAAATTCGGAACACAGAGTGGTAGGAAACTTAAATAGATGCATGGGATAGGCAGGGATAGCTTGAATTACCGCCTTAATCATTATTTCTTTTCCTGCTTGAGAGAGGGTGCACTGTTTCCATCCCTGAACTTTTTCCAGAATTCTTTCCTTCACAAAAGCAAGCCCTTGCCGTTTCGATCGACCCCAGATAGCCGGGAGACCAAGATACTTCCCCGGATCCTTTGCCAAAGGCATGCCAACAATATGACTTAGCTCAGCTGACAAGCTGCTAGGCACGTTTGCTCCAAAGAAAATACACGACTTCTGATAATTCACCTGTTGACCAGAAGCATGACAATAATCATTTAAAATCCTCAACAGACTATCACAGTTTTGTTTATCAGCACGCAAGAAGATCAAAGTGTCATCCGCAAAGAATAAGTGTGAAATAGTCGGGCATCCATGGTTTAGCTGAATGCCTTTAAGCATCCTCCTATCCACCGCCTGTTGAAGCAGTCGAGCCAAAACCTCGCCAACAAGAATGAATAAATACGGAGATAGCGGGTCTCCCTGCCGGATCCCCCTAGATGGTATGAAATTCTCCCCTGGTTGCCCATTCAGGAGTATAGCAAAATCCACTGTTTTGACACATCCCATAACAAGCTTCCTCCACTGTTGACAGAAACCCAACTTTTCCATGACTGCCTCGAGGAAATCCCATTCAACCCGATCGTATGCCTTATGCATATCAAGCTTCACTCCCATCTCAAACTTACTCTTTGCCTTTCGAAGTTTCAGAAAGTGGAACATCTCATGAGCAATCCCAATGTTATCTTGAATTTGTCTTCCCATCACGAAAGCGCTTTGGGTAGAGGAAATAATCTCCGGTAGAAGAGGCTTGAGGCGATTCGCAAGGATTTTTGACACAATCTTGTAGGAATAATTGCACAAGCTAATAGGTCTGAAATGCCCTACCGAGTCGGGATTTGTGATCTTCGGCACCAACACTATGTGTGTCGAATTGAGCCGTTGCGGGTCCGAGATCCCCAGCATAAAATCCTGCACAATTCCATTCACATCCTCCATAAGGGAGTTCCAGTATGAGTGGTAGAAAATCCCCTGAAAACCATCAGGACCCGGGGCTTTCATTCCCCCCATTTGTAAAGCTGCCGTCTGGACTTCCTCCAATGACACCGGGATTATCAAGCCAGCATTCATCTCATCACTTACCTTGTGTTGTAAGCAGTCCAAAATACAGCCCCACTCCCTTGGGCCAGAAGTAGAGAAAAGACTTTTGAAGTGTTCTTCAATATACCTCTGAACCTCGTACTGATTATCAATCCAATTTCCATTCCCATCCTTAATCTTTACTACCTTATTCCTCCTTCTCCGATGAAGCGTTGACTGATGGAAAAAGGCCGTATTCGCATCACCCTCCCTGAGCCACTTCACTCGCGATCGCTGCTGCCAAAATTGCTCCTCCACCTCCCCCAATCTGGCAATTCGCTCCGAAACCGTCTTAATTTCCTCCCAGTTTTTTCGCCAATTATGTTGAAGAACCCCCAGCCTGTTGGTAAGGTCCTCAATGTCGCGCCCTCTCGCTTTAAATTCCTGCTGGCTCCACTTGCTTAACTTTACTCGACACTCCCTCAATTTTTTCTGCCATTTCATGATTCCGTCACCACTGCATTGTTGCCTCCAACAGCGATCCACTATTTCTTTACACCTTTCCTCTTTGGTCCAGAACGCTTCAAACCGAAAGAGCTTCTTCCTTTTTTGATCCCGAGGTTGATATTGAATTATTAGGGGGCAGTGGTCCGACCCAATAACAGTTTCATGAATAACCATTGTATTGGGCCAGCTATCTTGCCATTGCCTATTAGCCAAGCCCCTATCCAACCGCTCCTCAACCAGCTGTCCATTTCTCATTCCTCTCCACGTAAAGCAAGGCCCATTATAGTCCAGGTCCATAAGCTCCGAGCCATTTAAAAATTCCTCCAGGTACCTTGGTCGATTACAGTTCAAACTAGCTCCTCCAGATTTTTCATAATCCCAAAAGATCTCATTGAAATCTCCTCCGCAAAGCCACGGAATAGCAGTCGGTTTAAACCATTCTTTCATCCACCGCCAAAATTCCAGTTTTTCATTCCTATATGCAGTACCGTAAACCCAAGTAACCCGAGCCATTCGAGCCGAGTCCACAAAATTGAAATTAGCATCAATGATATTTTTGGAAGTATAACCAATCGTTACCTCAACAGAATCATCCCACCACATACTGAGGCCCCCAGCTCTCCCAATGGGGGACACATGAAACCCATTTCGATACCCTATTCGACGTTTTACTCCATCAACTCTATTATCTCTCATCTTTGTTTCAGCAAGAAAAATCATAGTAGGCCTGTGTTTCCTAATGAGCCCATGTAGAGCCCGAACTACCGTGTCCGACCCTAGACCACGGCAGTTCCATACAAGGTACGTCATGGCTCCCTTGCGGCTGTTGAGGGCCAGCCGCCACCACCCTTAGTTCCAGAAAGCTCCCACTTTGTTGTCGACTCAGGCAACCTCTTCTCCGCATGCTCTTCAGCACTGTCCTTCTTCTCTTCTACCAGACTCGCCACAGTTGCCAATTTCCTAGATAGAGGCAATTCCAAGGTTTTTCCTTCAGCATCTCCTACCCCCAGCTTGTTTCTTTTGAGCGAATAGTGATTTGTCTCCAGACTACCCCTCTTTGCTCCACAACTCCACCCTCCATCCGATCTCCAGTGTTGCCCACTAGTCTCACTCCTCGGCATGCCCTCCCTCCCTCGCGATTTCTGCCTAGCCGACGCAGCCATCGGCTCTGGAACATAAGACTTTCCCCAATTCGGAGCGCCTTTGGTAATTTTGGTAGTGTGTCCACCTATTCCCCTGATTGGGCCTTGATCACCTTCTCCCGTTTCCTCTAACCCTTGGTCTCGGTCTGCCTGGGTAAGATAAAGTGGGTTAGGTAAATTAAATATGGTAGTGGATTGAGGGCCCAAACACCCAATTCCCATTAACACTTGCTGGGCCATCTGGGCCATGTTTCCATCTATCACCCACTGTTGGGAGCTCCCATCCTGCCCCTCCTTTCTATTCTTCATCCTTTGCCACGTTTTCTGACTTCTCCTTGGATTGTGTGCCTCCACTTGACTTGTTGTCCCCCTCACTGGTTCCTCAACTTCCTGACGCTCCGTCTCCACCGTGAACCCCACGCGCCGCTGCGTATTGCGCTGTTCCTCTCCTCTGATAGTTCCAGCATGTCTCCTTTCTCCCAACTTAACCACCAACGGTTTTGGCTTAATTATTTCCTCTCTAATAGGCCCTGTTTTCGTCCATTCACCATACCCTGCTGTGGAGCTCTGCCCATTCTCAAAAGAACACTCGGTATTTGCATGTCCTATCCTCCCACATTTATAGCAAAAATCCTGAAGTCTTTCATATCGGAATTCAATCCACGAGTCCTTGTTACTCTCCCGCGGTATCCAACATCCTTTAGCTAAAGGCATTTTTGTATTAACCATCACCCGCACCCTGAGGAAGCCCCGAGCCTTTGCCAAATCCTCGATCTCCAGTACCTCTCCAATCTCTTTGGCCAGACGTCGAACATTGGTTCCTGTACATAAACATAAGGGCACCCCTCGGATTTGAACCCAGAAGGGAACCAGCTCCATGGGAATTTCCTCAATTGCTAGATCTGCTGGCCAGCGCTTAACAGAAAAATTCTGCTTCATAACCGCCCATGGTACTTGACTCAAAATCCGCTCAGCCGAGCTTTCATCCTGCACTGTGATGATAAAAGTGTTTCCATGAGCCCATTTGACTTCAAAATCCCCCATTTCCTTCCACGCAGCTCTCAGGATGTTTCTGATTCCCCATTTATTTAACACTTTGTTGGTTAGGGCAGTTCCCACCAGCTTAATCCCTCGCTCCATATTCGTTACCTCCATCGACTTCTCCAGGTGGACCACTAGTTCCTCCACCTCTTGACTCGTCATTTTCCAGCTGCTTTCTTTGTCTCCTCTTTCCTGACGATCAGCTCTTCTGCAGTTTGCTGTTTTAAACTCAGATGTTCCCTTGGACCCCCACTTGTTATTTCTTACCTCTATTCTGTTCCTTGGTTGCCTTTTTTCTATCTGAACTGCAAGCAAAAAAACCACAGAGAAAATTGTGATTTTTGGGCCTCTATGTCTTCCCTCAGGACTTCTCCTCCTGCGCCATAAATTCGATTTGGCAGTAGGTGGGCTGCCATTAATTTCATTGCCTTTGGTAGGTGACATCCCATAATAAATACCCCCAACCCCCTCCATCAAATTTGGGTGGAAGATTCACCTCACCCCTCCCCCACTCCCCGACTCACCAAATAACGGGACAGTCAAACCTCAAACAACAGGATCGCACTCAGTCTCACCTTAAAACCCAGCTACCCCACTGCAGACGACACAGAGAATGGGTAAACTGAACCAATAACCTAGCACACTCCCACACGGAGAGAAGGGACACTCACCACGGAGGGCTCCCACAGCGGAGAGAACTCATTTTTTTTGGATGCAAGGTTTCTTTCTTTCCCGCAGAGCAAAGCGCCTACCACTAGACACTTTCACTATACCTTTATCAGGTTCTTTTAATAAGTGCTCAAGTGAATACCCGCTCTTAACTGTAAACTGCCCGTGCTTCTCGTAATGCCATATTAATCTGTCCACTCACTGTTGAGACCCCAACGAAATTTGCACGAGTGCCTCCATTTCCTCCTCCTAAAAAATGCAATAGTTCTTCGTTCCTAGCCCATTGTCAGATCAGAAATCCGCTAGTGTCTTGGCAATCGAGGTGGCGAACATATCTGAAAGCTCATAGGTTTTGTAATCCAGGGCTCACCATAAGACTGACAACCACCCCATTACCAATCCTTCATCGTAAGATAGTAGTGAAAAAATTTGTTCCACCAGAGAGCAACACAATGCATGGCAAATAATTTATTAAGCGAAAAAAAATATGGACCGTGGTACAATTATATAAACCTATTCCAAAATTAATTTCATTCCCCCAAACTCCTCCTCTAGGAGCCAAATCTACTAAAATGGGTAGAAATACTTTTAGCTGATACTTGATCCTTGTTATGAAATGTCACCAAAACGACTGAAAAAAAAAAAAAAAAAAAAAAAAAAAAAAAAAAAAAACTATAAAAAGGTGAAAATGGGTTGAAAGTTGAAACAATGATTAAATTGGTAATGTAAAGTGGAATTCATCTCTAAAGGGAACCCATACGTAATACGTAGGTGGGCGGAACTGTACGGTAAATAGAAGAAATGTGAGGTTTGATGTACACTTTACTTTACACAAGGTTTTTTATTTTTTATTATTTTATTATTTTTATTTTTATCCTAATTCTTTCTTATTTATTATTTTATGAAAATAAGAAAAGGTTTAGGTAGAGAAAGTGAGACCATATCTAAAGGAAATATCAAAAATGTCACATAAATATATAACAGTAACAAATAATATACTATTTACTCTAACTGAGATGTCAATGATGACGTGAAAAAAAAAAGGCTAAGGTGACATGGACGAAGAGATGTCAAATTTAAAGCTGCTTTCAAATTTGATTATTGCTATTTCTAAAGATATTCCACTTAACTTACTTTAAATGCTAACATATTTAAGTAATTTTATTATTTTTAAACCAACAACTCAACTTTTATTATTTTTGTTTAAAAAAATATAAATGGAGCAATAAATTTTGGCATATCGATTGGAAGGAAAATATTGACAATATGTCAAAGGAAAATTTTATTTGAATCCAAGTAACCTCTCTCTACACCACACCTAACTTAAACTGTAAATGTAAATTACTTTATTACCTTATTGCAAATTACCATAAAGTACGAGATAAAACTAATAATAAAAATAAGGGTACATCTCAGTTTTTTTTTCTTTTTTTTAGGATAAATCTCAGTTTACTACGCTCAAGTTTCGTGATTTTCAATATTTGTTACATGAAGTTTTTTTCGTCTCAGACTCTACCTAAAGTGTTAATTTTGGAACTATCTCATACATCTGCTAGTCTGGCTATTAAATCTCCCGTTAACCGATGATGTGGTGCTCATTAAAAAAATTTAAAAAAAAAATTAAATAAAAGTATTAAAAATTAAAAAAAAATAAAAAAAACCCAGAACCCCCTTCGTCTTCCCCACCCAACACCCCTCCACGGCTCAACCCCTCCATCCCCTCCACCCCATTCATCTTCTCTACCTGAACAACCCCTTCTCCCATCCCTCATCACCCACCCCTTGCCCACCCGAGCCACCCTTTCTCTGATTTCAGGCGGAGATTTACCCTAAATATAAATATATATATAGTCCCCATCATCCTTTAACTCATACTGCAAAAAGCAAATGCCAAAAGGCTGAGATACACCTCCTGCTCCGATAAACAACCCATTTTCTTCTACCCCTTTCTTTCCATTTGACTTTCCTGGAATCCAAACAGTAATAATCAGGAACAAAAAACCCCTTTCTTTCCCCTGCAATCTGGGAGTTGGGTTCTTCTTCTTCATACCCTGTTTGGTTGCTAAGAAAATATGAGTGAGAAAATGAAAGATATGGATGGGTTTTAAAACTTGAAGCTTGCAGTTGGTGGATTTTTTTATCTGATTTGTGCTTAAATTTTGGTGTTCTAGTTGTTAAATTTGTTCTTTCGAGGGTTTTGTGAACTGGGTAGAAGACAATGGATTTTGCCTGGAAATTTTGAATTAGGATTTTCTGACATTTGATTTGGGAGGAGTGGATCGGAGAAATGGTGGCTCGGGTGGGTGATGGGGGATGGCAAAAGGGGGTGGAGGGGTGTCGGGTGGGGAAGATGAAGGGGGTTATGGGTTGTTTTTTTTTATTTATTAACACTTTTATTTAATTAATTATTTTAATATTTTAAAATTTTTTAATGACACATGGCGCCTAGTTATTGTCCATATGAGCGTCACGTCATCAGTTAACAGAAGACTTAACAGATGTATAAGACTGTCCCAAAATTAACACTTTAGTCACGACTCTGGGACGAAAAAAACTTCATATACTAAATGTTGAAAACCACGAAACTTGAGGGTAGTAAACTAAGATTTACCCTAAAAATAATTATAAACCCACACCCAATAATCAAACCTAACCCTCACCATCACGTATCATTCTCCTATGTTCTAGTATAACAAAAATCATAAGATACTCTCATAGTGAAAAACAAGCCCTTTGTACGGATTGATAGTAATTTTGAAATATTGACAATCTATACTAAGCCAACTACCCTTTCTACTATACCCGACTGAAATGGAAATGCATGGAGCGGACAAGAAAAGGAAGGAGTTATCTCTTCCTTTTCTGTATAGAGGAAGAGTAGAGGTGTGTGGCGTGCATGCAGACCCATCATATTCAATCCCTTAAAAGTTGGACAGATTTGAAGGAAGAAACAAATAAAAATCTTAATAAAGTTTAATGCAAGATCAAATTGTAAACATGGGAATAAACTTGTATGCAGCACATATGATGCACATGAGAGCCTAATTTCAAAAACATCTTTAACAACTTAAGTCTTTAAATTCTACTCAAGATATGTCAAATAAGAACATGCATTGTGCTGCAATTAATTATATTAGAAATTGGCTCTTGCAGTGAAACAAATGATTAAGTAGCAATTCAAGGACTCCCTTTAACAAACTAATGAGAAAATTGACCAATACTATTAAGTCCCGACAAATACAAACTAAGTTGAGAAAGCAACGCTGTAGAGGATGATGGAGACTCCATCAAAAGTAACAGTTGGAAGGAGAGAATGTCAGAGAAGAGAATGCTTTGATTTTTTGGTTTTTTTTTCTTTTCATATGGGTGTAAAAGATAAATTTACATATTGAAATGAGTTTGTGAGGGTAGTTTAGGTAGTAAATTTAAGTTCAAAGAGATATTAATATTTTAATTAAAAATAATATGAGTGTAAAGAGTATGTTGGGTTTAAAGAGAGGTTAAATAGGTTTAAATAAAATTTCCTATGTCAAATTGCCAAGTTTACTATCACATTGAAATTTAATGTTTTGAATTTAACGTTTCATTTGGAAATGTTATGAGATTTTTTTTTGGGGGGGGGGGGGGACGGCTGATTAATGCTAATGTTGAATTTTTTTTTTTTTTTTTTTTTTGAGAATTTTTTGAATTTAACATTTCATTTGGAAATGTTATGAGATGTTTTTTTTGTTGGGGGGGGGGAGGGACGGAGTAGGGGACGGCTGATTAATGCTAATGTTGATTTTTATTTTTTTTTTAAGAATTTTAACGAAAAATTTTTGGTATTGTTCATTGTAATGAAAAATTATATTTTTACTCTAAAAAATTAATCCTAATATTATTCACTTACGACACATTTTTATCATTTTTGTTAAAACTCAAATTTTTATCATTTTTGTTAAAACTCAAAGTTTTCAAATCATTATTATTAGGTTTTTTTTTTTTTTGGTCGAAAAAATGGTAAGGTAGGTTCAGTCGTTCATTCATATATTAAGAGATTTCAACCCAAGTTTGCAAAGATCCTAAAAAAAGCCATTTGCTCTTGCACTTAGCTCTTTGCTCTTGCAGTGCAGACGACTGCAGTGACCTTTCTCCGACGATATCCATATTCTGATAAAGGCAGGCAGGCAGGCAGGCATTGTGGATTCCTTATAGATCGCCTTCCTCGGCGTTGAACATTTTATTTAGATCCCAGCAGGCAGCAGGCACCAGCAGTTGAGGAGTTGGACAAGAAGAGAGAGATTGGGAGAGTTTGGGATTATTTAATCCGAGGACTAGTACTCAAATCTGGAGGAAGGGAAGCAGCAGCCCCTCAATCTCAACGGTCAGATCCGATACAGATCGCCTTCCTCGGCTGAACTGCTCGAGGCTCAGAATCTGATCCAGACCAATTCTCCACCCTCCGATCCCGACCCCCTCTCCGACTCCGAAAACAAGATGCTCAAGCGTCCCGGCAGAGGAATCGGAATGGGGAGTCCCCTGTACGACTCCCTCTCCGACAAAATGTACAGATACAGGAGCGTCGTCCTCGTCATCTCAATCCCTCTCCTCCTCCTTACCATGGTCCTTTACGTCATGCCCCCCGGCGGTAATTTGAGCAACCAGCTCCCCCGCAAGCTGCCTTCCAAGACATCCTACGCTGTGATCTTCGACGCCGGCAGCTCCGGCAGCCGCGTCCACGTCTTCTGCTTCGACCACAACCTCCAGCTCCTTCCCATTGGCAAAGATCTCGAGCTCTTTCTTCAGGTCAAGCCTGGTCTGAGCGCTTATGCCAAGGACCCTCGCTCTGCTGCCGAGTCCCTCACCGGTCTTCTCGATAAGGCTGAGAACGCAGTTCCCAAGGAGCTTCGTTCCTTCACTCTCGTCCGCGTTGGCGCTACGGCTGGCCTTAGGGCTTTGGAGGGCGATGCTTCTGACCGCATTCTCCAGGCCGTATGCATCTTTTTTCTTGTTTGGAAATTGCAATTTCCTTTAGTTTTCGAAACTCAAGTCGCAATTTCATTCACATGTTTGTTTTGTTATCCTTCAAATTTCAAAAGGTCAGGGATCTGCTCAAACAAAGAAGTAGCCTCAGCTCCCGCCCTGATGCCGTTACTGTCATTGATGGAACTCAAGAAGGTTCCTTCCAGTGGGTGTGTTTTACTCCAATTTTTGAGCTCATTTATATTACTAGTAGTGGTTGTACCTGTACCTGTACTAGTCTGTACGCACTCATTCGTATTACTTGATTCTGTCATATCTAGTTATTCTTTTGTTTGTGCTAGACTGTCTGAGTATATCAAAGGGGTGTGCTATCCACACACTCCATTTTACTTCTCACCCACCCCTTGTTAATTTATGTCCTTTGATCTTCTCCAATTCATCCGATCCGAAGGGTGTGTGAGAAGTAAAAAGGGGTGTGGATATCACACCCCATATCAAATAACCCAATATTTTTGGAAAACCAGGCATATTTTGAAATTTGTTATCCGGGAAGCTTGCATGTGCGAGTATGAGAGTATAGTAACACAATTTGGGGAAGCAATGTGCATACATATCATTTATCTAAAACTAAAAAGAAATGAAAAGAAAGAAGAGTGGTCATAGCTATACATTAACTCGCTTCTTGTTTTTCAGGTGACAATAAACTATCTACTAGGAAATTTGGGGAAGAAATATTCAGATACTGTAGGGGTGGTTGACCTTGGAGGTGGATCTGTTCAGATGGCTTATGCTATCTCAGAGGCAGATGCTGCAAAAGCACCCAAGTTATCAGATGGAGAGGATGTATATGTAAGGCAAATGAATCTTAAAGGAGTTAAATATAACCTTTATGTTCACAGGTTTTTCCTCTTTCCTTCTGCTTAATTGATGTCAGGGTTTGGCTTTGTGTATTATTAATTTTTTTTTAGTGCATCCAGTTGTTTCCTCAACTTCGTTGTGACATAACTACTGTAGATTGGTATTCCCAGATTAATTGCTTTTGTATTATTTTTGTGCAGTTACTTGCATTACGGGTTACTAGCAGCTCGAGCAGAGATTTTAAAGGTTTCTGAAGATTCTGGCAACCCCTGCATCTTAGCCGGATATTATGGTATGCTGAGTTGCTCCATTTTCTCTGTTTTGAGAAAGGAACGACATTTTATTGCTCCATTTTCTCTATTTTGTTAAGCGATGAAGCAAATGGTGTTAATGCTTTTACTTTCTGTTTGTGGATTTAGTGCATAATATGCTATCTGTTGGGAAATCTTGATATGTTGTTCAGGTTCTTACGCATATGGAGGACAATCTTATAAAGCATCAGCTTCCTCATCTGGATCAAGTGTTGAGGAGTGCAGGAGGGTAGTTACGAAGGCACTCAAAGTAAATGAAGCAACATGTTCACACATGAAGTGCACATTTGGCGGGGTATGGAATGGTGGAGGAGGGGATGGACAAAGGAACCTATTTGTGGCTTCATTTTTCTTTGACAGAGCTGCTGAGGTATTTCACCATCCTTGATTTTTATATATTATTGCTTGATGTGCATGAAAAAGTTTAGGGTTTGGTTTAGACAACAACATGGTTTTGCTAACCACATATTATACATTTGCCTTACCAAAAAACAAAAAAATCCGTACAAATGCAGGCTGGTTTTGTTAACCCAAACGAACCTGTTGCAAAAGTTCACCCTGGTAACTTTGAGGAGGCAGCTAAGCGTGCTTGTGAAACCAAACTTGCGGATGCTAAATCAACATATCCAAGAGTTGAGGAGGGTAATCTACCGTTCTTGTGCATGGATCTTGTTTACCAATCTACATTGCTTGTGGATGGATTTGGTAGGTCTTAGTTATACATTAGCGAGTTAAGCAAGTTGGAAAATGACCATAAAATTCTAATATGTTTGAACTGGTTGCTTCAATATCTTAAACAGGTCTTGATCCCTGGCAAGAGATTACATTGGTGAAGAAAGTTAAATATCAAAATTCCTTGGTTGAAGCGGCTTGGCCACTAGGGAGTGCCATAGAGGCCGTGTCCTCAGTATAATTGTCAGCTGAATCACCTATTGGAAAGATAAGCCTTTGAATTTTGGCACCGGCGGTCTTTGCACTCCATGATCGGTACTGCTCAGAAGCCGACCTCATAAACTGATATTGGGAATTGGATTTGGTCTATATTTTGGGAATAATGAGAGAATATAGTTGAATTTGTTTTCATTTGTAATTATTCAGACTTAACTATTCTTGAGATAACAATTTGATTCAATTTGTTCTAGTTTTGCCGGCTGAGTAACCAAAACGGTGATACCATTTCCTTTTGTTTATCTTTTGCGTCTGTCCTTGTGGAGACGAATACAATTGCTCCTAATTTGTGTTTGCCATTCGGTTCATTTCCCTTCGTCTGGGTGTTCAACTTGAATTCTTACGTTCGCAAAGAGAAATCAAACGCATGTTCTTAGATAGTTTTTGTGTTTATAATTTATCTTTCTTTACATACATGACTTTTAAATTGAATAAAATCAAAGAGAATTAAAGAATATAAATAAATAGAAGCGTGCAGAAAGATAAAAAATAAAGTATTTCTGTGTGAAAGAATCTCAAACCATGGCCAGAGGATAAAATGTGGGCTTGAGATGGTGGGGTGTTTTGACTTTCGTGTTTTGTAGTTGGGCCATCCTTGGGCCATGGCGGAGTTTTCAGTTGATACTGTGCAAAAAATTGAGAACTGATTGCATTTGCTTAGTGATAGTATGAATTTAAAAAAGGGACAGGTGGAAATCATTCAGAATTTGAGGTATAATACAGGAGTGAGGATTTTGGATTTGCTTGCCTCCGCCGAATTGAAGAGCAGTCGAAACGGGTACGTCTTTTACTACTACAACTCGAATGTAGCCATGTAGGATTGGATTGGTTTGGTTATTTTCACAAACAGTTGGTAGGGTTCGTAGAAATCAATGAGAAAAATGGCGAGAATTACGTCATTATACTCGAATTTGCTACACGCATAGCCATGTCTCTGTCGTGTCCGTTGCTGCTGCCTTTGCCCTGAAGCAAGCCCTTGCTGCTGTGTCTTCATCTCCAACGCATTTCCACATTTCATACGACAGATAAAGAAGATGATCAATTGGATTGGAGTCAGCCAGACATGTACCCTAGAATAATCCCCAAGAAATCTCATCAGGAAAAAGATTTCCTTCAGCAGCCGGAAACTAGCAAAGTTGTAAGAGAGCGGAGTTTTCTTTCTGGGAGCCATAGGTTTCAATGAAATAAGAAATCTCAGTGGTGTCTGATCTCGGTATGCACATGGTCATGACTCATGGCTGGTCACCAACATTCGGCATCAAGTTTCAGTGGACACTATACAGGTGCATGTCATTTTCTGTCGGTGTACACTCAACTGTTTACTTTTGTTGTCACAAACAAGGAACTAATATATTTTAGACTCACGGCTCAACTCAAACATGCTGTGAACTCCAACATGAGCGTTGTCATCATGCAAATGGATTTGTGATTTGAGTATATTCTCTGTTAAATAAAATTCAATTCTATATTTTGGCAACTTATCATGCCCTCTTCTGTTTATTTATTTGTACATATTATGATTCAAAATTGTTTCATACTCTATAAGTTATACGCTTGAACAGAAAATGGTTTGGTGAAAAGGAGCAGGAGAGAAAAATATTCAGAAGGCAATTGCCATAAAAACTTATAGGAATGCATAACTACAAGAAACAGTTCCATTACACTGCTTCTAGTTTTGTTTGTACATGCAGAGTCTGCACACTGTGTTTTAGCTTTTATGATGAGCATATAGATGCTTGTGGAATCAATTTTTGCTCTGCTTTCGGGAACAATTTCGTAATTGTTGGACCTATGACAAAATTTCATGATGTAAGCGTTCTGAGGGGGATTGTGGGAGTGCTTGTACTAGGGTTTTGGCTTTGAATCATGTGACTTAATGCACGGGTGTCTTGTACCTTTACGATTTATTCTTCCAAGTTAATAACAAATATCTCATAGTTGCATAAATCCCAGGTGCTGAACTGATCTTTGTCTATTATTCTGCTCCGTTGTGTATTACTTGTTAGTATGATCATCTTCACTGTTTTTAGGACCTTTTCATGGTTGTGAACATTATTCTAGTTAAAATCAATTTATTCAAGAATTTATGATATACGTGTTAAGGCCAACACAGAAAGACATATACGTCTTACTCAAAGTTGTAACTTCTATATGTATTGGGATAATCTTATTAGAAATCTCTGTATGAAAAAAATTCATGCGACTGTCTTATTTGCTATTGGAGTTTACGGATAGTTCTTCTCAGGCTTCCTTTTATGATTGGAGTACTGCTGTGTCTCATTTTTCATTAGTAATGTCAGGATGTTTTAGCTCTGTTTTGCAGTTATAGTTGAGTAGTCTAGCTTTTCCAGTGGTCAACTTGTCTTCTGATGTAATTTTCCTTATATTGCAGTCGTGGTCTAGGATCTGATTACCAAATGATTGTTATAGCACTTATGAACTTTCCACCGCTTCCACAATTCTCTGAACTGCGCACTCGACTCCTTGCCTTCGAGGGGCAACAGACCTTTGCAGCACAGATGGTTGCGTCTCCTCTTGCTGCTTTTGTTGCAGTTCGACCACCACGTGACTCGCCTGCCATGCGTCCTTGTGATCAAGCAGGCCCTCAGCCACAGTTCGTACTTTCTATGGGCCTGGACCGACTTCCCATAGAGCCCAACGTCCGTTCTTCAATGCCCAAGATCTTTTAGGTTCTCCTCCCTCCCGTCAGCCACTTCAGTGCTGGAACTGCCAGTAATTTGGACACTTTCGAGACAAGTGTCCTTATTCTTGTCCCTTTGCCGGCAGGCATGTTTCGTATCTTTAGATCCTAACTAGTATTTGGACTTGGGTGCTACAAATCACATGACTCATGATGCTAAGATTTTCCCCACTGGGGCCCAATAAGCACCTAATGACAATGTTGTGATTGGTAATGGTGAAACCCTCCCCATCACTCAGGTAATGTTTTGTTTTCTTCCAAGGCTTATGTCTTTCGTCCCTCTTAAGTGTTCCTTCCCTTCATAAAAATCTTTTATCTGTCCATCAGTTTACTTATGATATGCAAGTATTACATTCTTTCCTTTGGGATGTCAAATTCGTGACTTACAAAGTGTTGTTCTTCTTTTTCAGGGCCTATGTAAAAATGGTCTTTATTTGCACTATTTGATTTAATTCATTCGGATGCATGGATGTCTCATGTTGTCTCGATCTTTGGTTATCGCTATTATGTCTTGTTTACTGATGATTTCATTCGTTATTCGTGGATTTTTCCCATGCTTCTTAAGTCAGAGGTTTTTGTTATGTATGTTAAAAATCAATTCTCTTTGTCTATCAAACAATTCCAGAGTGATGGGGGTAAGGAATATGATAAATTGCAATTTAAGCATTTTTGTGCCACTAATGGAATTGTGCATCGTTTTCTTGTTCCCAACAGAATGAATTAGCTGAGCGCAAACATTGTCATATTGCTGATATTGGACGCACCCTTGTACATACTGCTCACATGCCCCGTAACTTATGGGCCGAGTCGTTGGGCACTGCAGTCTATTTAATTAATCGACTTTCTACGCCTGTTATTCAATGGACCTCACCATACCTATCCTTATTTGGTCATTCTCTTGATCATAATTTTCTTCGAGTTTTTTGGTGCATCCGTTATCCCTATCTTAAAGTTTATGTGTCTAACAAATTACAACCTCGTTCTCTTCCGTGTATTTTTGTTGATTACAGTGATAAACATAGTGGTTACCGCTGCTTACATCCTCCTACAGGTCGACTCTACATTTCACGCCATGTCATTTTCCGTGAAGATCAATTTTATTATGCTTCTGTTTCTGTGCCTACTCAACGTCCAGAACTTTGCCATAATTCCAGTCAGCTTGCTGCCTAGTTCACCCTCTCAGCCGACAGCGGCTGACATCAGGCCACTACAGCAAACAGCAGTTGACAACAGCCTACTGCAGCTGGCACCGTTTCACCCAGCTGTCCTTCCCCCGAATCCGCGTGCCCATCAGTCCCACAGAGTCAACATCAGTTTTGGACGTTGACTTGCCCATCACATCTGTTCAATCAGTACCTGCAGCACACTTGTCGTGTTGTCTTCCTCAACCGCAACATATGATTTTGGTGCTTCTGCCGTTGCTCCGCCACCACCCAGTGGGTGTTGTAGTCCAGTTTGCACACGTTCAAAAATTTGGAATTTTCAAGCCAAAATCCTAAATATCCAGCAAATCTTTCTACTAGGTATTATGTACCTCAAGCTTTCGTTGCCTTGGTGAATATAAATATCGAACCTACTTGTTACATACAAGCGTCTCGCTCTCCCGAATGGAAACAGGCCATGCTCGACGAATATAATGCACTTCTTCACGAGGTACCTGGTTTTTGGTCCCACCATCTAATTCGATCAATACAATTGGTTGTAAATGAGTTTTCAAAATTAAGTGGTGGTCTAATGGCATAATTGAAAGGTACAAGGCACGTCTCGTTGCCAAAGGATCCATCAATAATTCGGTGTTGATTACTTTGATACATTCAGTCATGTCGTCAAACCCACAACGATTCACACTGTTCTATGTCTGGCTATTTCTTTTGGATGATATTTTCAACAACTTGATGTCAAGAATGCATTCTTACATGGCTCTCTGTCTAAGAAAGTTTACATGCGACAACCCCCAGGTCTTGTTGATCCCTATTATCCTCACCATGTGTGTAAGCTTCATAAGGCCATTTATGGCCTCAATTAGGCTCCCTGGGCATGGTTTCAACATTGTATTTCTTTCCTTATGAGGATTGTTTATGTCAAAGTCGAGCTGACAACTCTATGTTACCTTTGAATCTGTTAAACGATGTTACTTGAAAGGCTCTCTTGGGTTTGGTCTTCCTATCTATAGGTCTCAAGATTGTTCCTTCTTAATTGCTTATTCTGATGCCAATTGGGTAGGATTGTCCTGATATACGAAGGTCCACATTCGGCTACTGTATATTTTTGGGACCCAACCTTATTTCATGGAGTGCCAAGAAACGACCAACAGTTTCTCGTTCCATAGTGAAAATTGAATATAGAGCCCTTGCCTACGCTTGTATTGACACTCTATGGATTCAAGATCTTTTAACTGAACTTCATTGTCTACTCACTCGTCTAGTCTTACTTAACTGCAACAACTTGTCTACCACAGTATTTAGTTGGTAATCTCGTGTTTCATGCTCGCATCACTTTGTTCGTGAACGGGTTGCTTCTGGTATCCACAAAGTTCAGTTTATTCCTTCTACATTTTAGTTGCTGACGTCTTCACCAAAGGATTACCAGTTGAATAGTTTGCACATCTTATTTTCAAACTTGTCACCTATTTGGAGTCAAGTTTGCGGAGGAATGTTAGGCAGTTACCATAGTTAAGGAAGGTTTTAGAGCCAATGAATGTCAACACATCATTTTTTTGCCATTATGTTGTTATTAGATGTCATTAGTCTTATGTTGTTATAAGTCATTATGTTGTTATTAGATGTTATTAGGCTATAATTGTTTTCCCGTTACCTTGTAACCACTAGGTTAGCAAGCATACACTTCATGTATAAATAGGTTGTAATCCCTCGATTATAATTAATTGAATATATGGTTTCTACAAAGACCATGGCAGCACCATTGATTAATTTCATCCAATCCAAGGAAGCAAACCCAAGGCAAGTGGTAGAGATGAATGATACTCTTGTGCTACGGCCTGGTTTAAACCCCTTCGGCTCCCTAATATAATCTCTAATCTAGTTTGTTTATTCAATAAAGGAAGCAAACCCAGGTGCAAGCCCCGAATCCTTTTATTCCATCATTCACATCCAAAGAAGTCGAGGGTTTTTGGAAGGAGTAGGATTTTCTCTTTTCGTATTCTCATCCATTTTCCTTTCCTCATCTCACACTTTGCTTTTTATCTTATTATCTCTGTAAAAAAATAATATAAAATTAACGTAACTTAATCGTAACCATTCAAATAGGAGTGGATGGAAGGTAAGGGAGATTAGGAGATGAGAGAAATCCTCATCTTTTTGGAGGACCAACAGCCACTGCCATGGGGAGAAGACCCGCTAGGTGTTTCTCTCTATACGATGACTAGGAAAAGGACAAGAACTACGCTGCTGAGTCCCTCCACCGTCATCAACTCCTCTTACGCCACTTTGGGTCACCACATTGCCAGTCGACTCGTCCAAATCGACGTCACCGATGTGTTCACTATCCCCGGTGACTTTAACTTGACCCTTATCGACCACCTTATCGTCGAGCCCGAGCTCACCAACATCGGTTAATGCAACGAACTCAACGCTGGGAACTTTGCTAACGGCTAAGCACGGTTGCGATGAGTCTGTGCGTGTGTTGTTACTTTCATAGTGGGTTGGCTCAATGTCTTCAATGTGATTGCCAGAGCATGAGCAACTCCATCCCTAAGGGGTAGGCTGGCTCAAAGCACAAAAAACAAGCCAGCACCTCCCAAAACTCCTCCAGTCCAACTAATAGGCTGGCACCCAGCCCAAGTCGTCATCTAGGGCGGCCCAAAATGTTTTGATCCAAGGCCCGACCTATGTGACGTTACAAGCCAGTTTATTTTTTTTATTTTATTTTTTTTTACGCCAAGCGCATGGGAAATAGGCGCGAGTGGCCGTGCGTCCTTGACAAGAAAAAAAGTGGTGGGGCTCGCATATGTAGGCTCAACAGAGGGACTAATGGGATGCCATGTTGCTCGGTCTAGGCCGTTGGATTTCCAATGGTAAAAAAAATTTGAAAATCAAATCCAACGGCTAGTGATGTGGTGCGTTCTGAATTATGATCGTTGGATTTGAAAAAAATAAAATGCACAACGGTCAGAATTATGATTGTTGGCCACGTGTCAACATCTGGGCTATTGGATTTGAATTTTTTTCAAATTCAACGGTCCAAATTAATTAACTTAATAAAAATATAGAAAAAATAAAATAAAATATATATTTTTTTCTATAAATACCTAACCATCATCTTCCACTTTACACCACATTTCAATATTTTCAACACTTTCAACCAAAACTTTTATATACTTTTTTGTGTAAAAAATGGCTACGTGGAAGCTCATCGAAGATGTTACGTTGTGTCAATACTAGGTTCAAATTACTCATGACCCGCTTACGGGTAATGATATGGAGTTGCGAGAAATGTGGAGTAGAATTACGAAAGCGTTTTGCGATAGGCTTGGAGATCGCACAAGAAGTAGTCAAGGTCTTCAAGGTTGTTGGAAAAAACTTAACATATCCTTTACTTGTTGGAAAAATACTCTCTCTCATGCTTCCACTAATCTGAGTAGTGGGAGAAGTTTAGCAGATTAGGTGACAATATTTTTATTTATTTATATGTATTCCACCCGCATCAATATTTTAATTTATTTAATTGTGTTACATCGACATTTTATAATATTGTCTTATCCCACATTTTATAAACACTACAAGCACAAGCATTCTATAATGCGAAGAACAATAACAAATCATTCACCAAATGGGAATGTTGGGATGTTGTCAAAGATTATCCCAGATACAAACTTGTGCCAATTGGTCTAGAAGTTGTCATGCATGGCATCCCTCTACACAATCATCCAACGAGCTTGTAGGATACCAAAACAACGCTCCACATCCTTCTTGACATTTTGCGAAGTGTTTTTCTTTTTCACTTTGTGGATGCAACACTGTTTTGACAAATGTTGTCCACCTTGGGTAAATGTTGTCTGCTAGGTAGTATGCTCCTTGTATTTATGGCCATTTACCCAATATGTGATTCTCGGTGCTTTTCCTTGTAGCACTTCATGGAACACAGGAGATAGGGTAAGGACATTTAGGTCATTTTGAGATCTTGGACCACCAAAAAAAGCATTCCAAATCCATGTATCAAATAAAGCCACCGCTTCTAAAATGATACTTTTGGCTCATATTCTGTCGTCATAAGCTCCTTGCCACACACTTGGACAGTTTTTCCAGGTTCAGTGCATGCAGTTGATGCTTCCAATCATGCCAAGAAAGCCTTGCATCTCACCCTTCTTTAGAAGCCTTCGCAGGTTCCTTGCGTGGGTTTCTAGAGGTACTTATTATTGCGGAGGGCTTCGATTACGAAGCAAAAATGTATCAGGAACTCCAGAATAGTTGATTTTCCCATCCTTGTTATCTCATCTACTTGATCTGCAGATGCTCTATATGCAAGCATTTGCAAGGCAGCAATAATTTTTTGCTCAGGAATAAGACCTAGAACATGAAATGCATCTTTTTTTTGCACAAAGTATGGATCATGGTTGCAAATAACACTTATGATTTTGTTGAACAAACTTCGTTGCATTCTAAAATGACGTCTAAAAATATGATCAGGGAATAAACTGTTGTGGATAAAATAATCTTCCAAGAGATCTTTACCTCATCTTTCCCTCTTTTTATCCAAGTTTGCAGCACGTCTAAGTTTGGATATCTGACCCACAGCTTCCATGACACGAAAGCAGATCTTGGTCCATGAACCCTAAACCCTAAACCCTATCCGAAATTAAAACTATTATTTTTATTATAAAAAAATTAATAATATTTTAAATGGGCTAGGTGCCAGCGCATTTTGTAGGGGTGGAGATCGTTTGTGCCAGCGCATTTTTTAGACTTTGTGCCAACATATTTTTTAGGAGTGGAGATGTATTTGACCAATTAAATTGTTCATAAGGTCAATCACTATTCATTGAATAGATTAAATGAGTTGGATGCCAGCGTATTTTTTAGGAGTGGAGTTGAGTTTAGGCGCCCATTCATAAGTGATTCTTCAAATCACCAGACAGATATCACTGACTGTCAGGAATCCCCCTAGTTCCTACCTATATTTCGCTCCAAATTGACAGTAGGGTGTCGAAGTTCCCAAGGTTGAAGGCTCTATCAAGTGTTCTTCCATATGGGTTGGGCATTTGTCGGCAAAAGACTGTTGACCACCTTATGCGTCCTCTCTGCAGAGAAAGTGAGGAGTCTATGGAGCACTTGCTTTTGCTTTGACATTGGATCAAATTGTATGGCGTGGATCCGACCTCAACTACAAACCCTTCCCCGATCATGTGACCTCTCTGGATGCTTGGTTTTCTGAAGGATATTTAAAGTACTTCACCAAATATACAAAAACAAGTTCCAAGAGGAGTGAAGATCATCTTTAAGCACAAGATGAGGCAAGAAACAAATGTTGTTTTATCACAATTTTCTCTTCATACCCTCAGAAAAACGCACTCTCTCTAACAGCTTCTGGCCTGCTTGGAAGGATGTGATTGCTTGAGCTTCGGATTGCAAGTGGAGGGAGATTAAGGAAATAGCCAAGACTCCAGAGTAATGCGACTACCCCATCGTGACCTCCATCCCTATCTCACTCAAATAACTGGAACTAAGAGATCCTCTAGTGCTTTATTGAGAGGGAAAGACTGACTTCAATATATCTATTGGTAAATTATTGCTCGCAGTAACGCTTTTTGACCTTTACATCAATGTTGTTGCTCTATCAGTTTGGGTTGTCTACAAGGATCAAGTTAAACTACAAATAATTTCTCTTTACATAAGTCTAGCAGCAGTCCCCACTGCACCTTGTTCGATTACAAAACATCAACAGCGGCATGTACTTCTCTAAATCACTAGCTTTGTAGAAGAAAGGATGTTCAGATCCTTCCCACCAAATACCAAGATAAAGCCGAAGTGGGCTCTCACTGGAACAGATGAAGAAATGACAATGAAATTGTTTGGTATAGGCTGCTGCCTTTGAAGTTGTTAGAGCATCCCCAGTGAGGGCTTTATCCTCCATGAGGTTAATACATTTCAAGTCTTAGTGAGATATTTCATCCCAATGAGCTGGAAAATGGGGTTAGATTTGCTACTAGGGTTAGCAATTTCATTTCTTGGGTAACATAAAATTGGGTTACATCTATCCCCAACAAATAGTGGGTCCCACAAAAAAGTAGCAACCTATGTGAGCAAAATTTTATCATTCTCCCTTCACTTGTGAATATACTTATACTCTCCTTTATTCTTTTTTTTTTTTAGTTCTTTTTTCTTACATATTTTTATTGCAATTTGGCTAATTAATGATTGTTTTAAATTTCATAAGATGAAATTTCAAATTGATTTAACGTTCATGGGCATTAGTGGGTGAAATTTTCAAATAATTTTTTTTTCTTTCTAAATTGTATGATACTAATTACCAATTGGTGCAAGGTTAATTGTTGTGTAGTACGTGAAAATCAAATTATTTCAGATGACGAAGTGGAGGTTTAAATCTTTCAACAGATGAGATTAAGATAAGAGAATTTAATCCAACGAATGGTTCAAAAGTGATGAAATCTAACTTTGTCACAATTTGAACTTTTTTAGGTTGAAAGCTTCATAAAAAAAGTTCAAGATAGAAAGTCCAAAAATCAACTTAAAAAAAGTTAACAAAAAAAAAAAAAAATATATATATATAGCATAATCAAATTACTACAAAAATAAATCTATATAGCCCCATATACAGTTCGAAAGAAATAGCCCCTCATTGGGAGAGATTCTTTTATAAAGCTCCAAACATTCTTCGGAACTCTAAAATGAGCTATATCCACCACTTTTTCAACCCCATGTAGAGCTCGGGAATGCTATTGGGCCATCTCCAACAGAAGGAAGGCCAAATGACTCGTTTTAGCCTTATAACCCTCCAAGAAATTAATATTTTAATGAACAGTGCCATACTACATTTCATACCATCTCCAACTGAGGCGCCAAAGGGCCATAGACCAAACATAGCTCTGTGATAAAAAACCATCTCCAACCGAGGGGGCCAAAGGGCCATAGTATGAAATGTGAAGCATTGAAATAAAATGAGGTAAAATAGTATGAAATGGTGAAAAGTATGTGAGAAATGGTGTAGAAAAAAATTAGAATAGGCTGGCTCATCGGGTTAGCTGGCTGGCTGGAGATGGCTAGCCCGCTAGCCTGATTGGCTGATTTTGGCCCGGTAAGGCCCACAAGCCCTTTGGCCTAGCTTTCGATTGGAGACGATTTTTGTGTCATTTCAACTATTTTTGGCCCTATGATCCTTTAGACGAATTGGTTGGAGATGACCTTATGGAATTGAAAATGCTTGGAGGTCCCCTTGTTCACGTGGTCACAAACAACCCAGGTCCCGTCTGCAGAGTGATTAGGCTCTCAAAAGTTCATAGTATACCACAAGCGTGGTATCTCAAAAAAAAGAAAAAAAAAAGAAAGGAGAATCCAATTAGCTTTTAAAGCTTTAGGAGGGGTTTATCTGAAATCAAATCTTTGATCCCTCTTTGATGCCGTGTCAAGTATGCAAGGAAACAAAATTCCTTGCAGCAAAATAAAAGCATACCAATTACTACCTATAGGATTCAAAATGATCAAAGAATGCCTTTGCCACATCTCCAAATAAACAGCTAAAAGATGTTTATTTTTGTCTGCCATGTGAACTGTGAAGTCCTATTTGGACTTAGAAGACTTCAAGGTCACAGAGAAGGGGAAAAAAAAAATTATGAAAATGATTTAAAAATTCTGAGTTTTAAAAGGTAAAATGAATAATATCAGAATTAACTTTGTAATGTAAAAATATAATTTTTTATTAAAATAAACAATACAGGAAATTTTTCGTTAAAGTTGAAAAAAAAAACTTGCTGACAACTTTGCAAATTAATTGGGAAAGATACTAACGTGAAGCCACAGCCCCCATATAAATTCATGGGCTTTGTAAATTTGGACCCATGAATTAGAAATTAAGCCGACTAAGACCTAGTTTGGTACTGAGGTGATTCTGAAAAAAGCTGCTATCAAAAAAAGCTGGGAGCTGTTTTTGTGTTTGGTAAACACTCAGCTTCAGCTTTTTTTCACAGTTTTGGATGAAAAAAAACCAAAAACAAGAAGCTGCAAAACCTAGCTTTGAAAAACCAGCTTTTTTTCACATCTGTTTTACATAAAAGTTTACCAAACACTCTAATACTACTTTTTTTTTTCAAAAGCACTTTTACAAAAAAGTTTACCAAACACTCTGCTGCTTTATTTCACAGCTGCTTATTCTCACAGCACAGCAGAAGCAGCTTTTTTTCAAAGCACAGCAATACCAAACCAGCCCTAAAAGTCAGGTGAACAACTCTTTTGACGATTTACCCCTAATTTTATTGTTTCTGTCATTCCTTTTTCTCAATTCACACAGTAAAGTGACATATTTGCCCCTGTGGCTTTATGGAATAACAATCTATTTTTTTCCATTTCTCTGTCTGAAACACAAAACACAAACACAAACACTCTCTCTCTCTCTCTCTCGCGCGCGCGCAGTGGAACTCTCTCTCTCTCCTCCCCCATACTCAATCCACAGCTTCTTCTCCAACTCTCTCTCGCCATAGATGTGCGGAACTGCAACAGTTGCAGAGATCGCGAAGCAGAGCGTAGAAAGCATGATCAAAATCGATCGCCTTGCAGAAATTGAAGCCTTATAGATAGATATGAGGCCGAATCACCGATCCACAGGGGAATGATGGCTCTCGATACCATCACGTCAGTGATAGGCCGATCCCCTACTCTCTGCGCCTCTTCCGAAACCCCTCTTGGTAAATTTTCGAACTTTACCCCCAATTGTATTTGCTCTCTCTTTCTTAATCTAAAGCTTAGGTCTCGCACTTTAACTTTGTGTTTAGGTTGGGTTTTTGCGTTGTGAATTCTGAATTCTATGTTTAATTTGGATTTTTATATGTAAAATTTTGAATTTGTAGCCTGATTTGAAGGTGAATTGGGACAAGTGATTGCTACCTAAACTCATGACCATGATTGAGTAAAAATATACCAGGAGTTTTTATTTTTTATCTTTTTATTTTTTTTTAAGAGAAAGGTCACACTATTAGCAAAACAACAATTATATAAGAACGCAGCATGCAATGGGGATGGATTTTAGAAAAAAAAAACCAATTATTTGGGTAAATTCATATGAGAAAAACGGTGAAGGAAAAAAAAAGACGTACATGCCATAAATACGTTCAAAGAACCACCAACGGAACTGACGTTACAAAACAGATTGCAAGTTATATATTTTTTAAACAAGTTTTCAGCTTCAAATTTTGTTTTTTGTGATGGCAGAGTAAGGAGAATATGATCCCCATTAGCTCCAAGCTTGCGGTAAACATCTCTTTTTGTTCAGGGTTATGAGAATTTTTACAGGAAGAATTAGAAAGGGACCTCAAAATTTAAATCTGGTATTGTAGAATTGTAGAAAAAAAAATGTGGAGTTGGTTGCTGTGGCTAAGTGTTGGGTTTGTGGTCGGAGCAGTGGCGGTTCTAGCTGCGGAAGTCGCAGTTGTACGAGTTTTCATCAGCAGGTTACAACACAAAACCAAGCAACAGCATGACAAAGAAAAATCATCTCAAGAAAGAGGATCCAAGTCAGACCCCCTATACCCTCGTCGATCCCTGGAATTTTCTTCCACCAAGGAGAAGGAGGTATTTACCACTTGTACTTGAATATTCATATCCCTGGAATTCGTTTCTTTAATTTCTACTTGTAAATTTATCCTCTGCCTTCTGCTTTTTCTCTGGAGTTTTCTTTCTTTCTCTGAAAACAACATTGAATTCCCAAATTCAATTCAACTCAGCTTTGAGAATTTGTACTTTTATGATCATGAAAATTTCTATTTCGACTCTTTAGCGTATCGCAGTTAAATTGATAACGTGGAACAATATAACTAAAAATTTAAATATGATGGAATATTTGGGTGAGTAATTGACAGGTTATGTATCTATTTGATTATGTTTTTTCTCGAGGCACATTTTAAGGATCATAAGGCTGTATGACTTTAGAAATGTATACATAAGGCTGTATTTATAATCCTAAATATAATAAAATCGTGTTAGAGAATATTTTCTACTTTATCTAGTTTTCTTTGCAAGACATTAATCTTTCTAATGAAATGTTGATCAAGCTGAAACAACTACATTAAGGATTCTATTTAGCATAAGGCATTGGAATGGAAACTATTATATGTATTGTTGAGGTTACGCATTTGCTTGTGGTTGACTGAAAAGATATACATCTTAGGTATTTTTTTTGTACAGAATTCAGTCATATCACTGCATTATACTGAATTACCTTTTGTTGGCACTATCGTACATTTATCATTGATATTGGGACCCAACCTGTGCTTCCCACATCCCTTTTGTGGGGAGCTAATCAGTCTACACTTGTTTCATTGTTCATCTAGGCTTGTGACACATATACATTACTCATGGCTGTGCATAGCATTTTTCTAAAAGCTTTCCCTCCATTAGGGTGTAATTTGGGTTTTAGAACCAGAAAAAGTTCCAAAAAACTGGCAAGAAAAAGCTCTACGAGAGCAAAAGAGAGAGAAGGAATTCTTTGAGGTATCTCCTATAAAAAGATATGCAAAAATCAAGAACAAACTACTCATTCTGACAGAATCAGATGGCTCCCAGACAGCTATACAGTTAAAGGGCTGCACTATTGAAGCTGTTTCCTCAACAAGTCTATCTTCAAGAAAATGGTAACTGGCAATTGCCACACATCCTCTGCTTCTAACCATTCTTTTTCAAATTTATTCAAGCTGGGATGATCATAATTGTCATATTACTACTTTTCCCCAATCTTTCCCATACAAGTGCTATGACAAATTTTTTACGACGAGGTGACAAATTTTTTTTGAAGACGTGTATAGTTCCATGATTTCTTTTTGTAAAGATATAAAGTACCATAATATCTCTTATTACTGTGAAAAATAAAACAGAATTGTCTTAGTTCTTAGCCATTTACAGTGTTTCACTATGTTTTTGACCAGTGCTGAAAGTTTCTTTCTTTTCTTAAGGGCCAAGAGGTTCCCCATTAAATTGGATAGCAAGGCCACCTTATACAAAGGAAGTAAGATATTATACCTTTATCTTAAAACTTCATGGGAGAAGGAATCATGGTGTAAAACTCTTCGTCTAGCATCGTGTGATGACAAAGAAAAACTTGACTGGTTCGCCAAGTTGCATGAAGAATTTCGCTGCTACTTGACATTGTTAAATACAGGCCATCCTTCACTCGTGAAACAGTCTGGTGGACTGTATGCTGCTGAACCCGCAGATAGGGAAAATAGGATTGATGGTTCTTCCTCAAAGGTTCGTATGTTCTTGAGAAAATTCACAAAGAAGTCTTCGAAGATTGGTCCAGAAAATAAGTTGAGCTGGACGTCATCCTTAGGCCGTGAAGAAAGAAAGATAAGTGAGAAAGTTCGTCCATGCCAGGATTTTGTTTCTTCCAGTAGTTTGGTAGATGCTAGTCCATTAGTGAAGAGAGCTCAGAGTTTCAGTGAAGGGAATTTCGCTATCCCACCATCTTCCACCTTAACTCATTCTGGTAGTCAGAGTCATATATCTGTCATCTCTGATGCAGGCTCCGATGAAAAATTTGGTTCTGATGAGGGAACACTTTGTTGGAATTTGTTAATTTCACGGCTCTTCTTTGATGCCAAAAGTAGTGTGGAGATGAAAAGAACCATAAAAGCTCAGATTCAGGTGCACCATTCACCAAGAAGATTTCATCATTTCTGTTAGTATACATGCATGCATCTTCTCATATTTGCATTAAGGCGGAAGCACATCATGCAAATATGTGTGCACACAAACACACACACAGTCAAGATGTTTTTTTTTTTTTTTTTTTTTTTTTTTTAAATAAAATTATAACTCTGCAATTGTTGCTATTCTTGTCTTTTCGAGCAGATGTTAGACACTTGAGGATGAGCTAAATAATATTTCGCATAAAGATTTAGGTTAAACTGACTTATATTTGCAAGGCACCTGTTAAATGTAGGGTTCATTTCATGTAACTGGGCCTCCATGTATCAAATTTTCCGAATTTGATTTGAGTGTATTTGGACATCTTGAATTTGGCTATTGCTTTGTTTACTTACACATTTCTCTTCTATTATTTGTTTGCAAAGGCAGATGTAAAATATTTGTGTTTTATTTGATTTTGCCTATGACAGAGGACATTGTCCAATATGAGGACCCCAAGTTACATGGGCGAAGTGATTTGTACAGACATTAATATTGGGAATCTCCCACCTTACATCCATGGTTTGAAAGTACTCCCGATGGACATGAATGATGTATGGGCTTTGGAAGTTGACATTGGATACTATGGTGGTGCGGTGTTAGACGTTGAAACAAGACTGGAAGTCCGTGAATTAGATTTCCAGAGAGGCAGTGAGGATGCGCGTCCAGAATCAGGCTCTGTTGGAGATGTTTCAGCCGATCTTCTTGAAGAATTTGAGCATTTTGGAAAGCAGTTAAATCTTGCTGAAGGGGCAGTTGATGCGCCAGAGAATAAGGAGGAATGTGATCCAAAACCTGGTGAGATTAAACTAAAGTCAACTTTTGTGCACTCTGTGTATTCCATATATACCTTTGAAACTCTTGATTGTTGCTCACATACAAGCAGCCTCTGGGTTCATAATACATTGAGGATTGTATAGTAGTGGAAATATTATCTTGTTACCTATAATACTTATTGGTGATTGCTATAAGTACACTACATAGCTTGAAAAATAGTTCACGAGGTACTATATGATTAAAGAATCAATTGAATTTGGGTTGCCTATGATCAAGAGAGCAAACATTAAGATTTAGAGTCTGAGACTTCAAACATCAAGATTAAAATGATAGTCTAACAGCTAGGCATGGAATAGAGGTCAAACCCTAAAGGAAATTGTATATAAAACTTTAAAAATAATTAAGTAAACGTGAGGATCTGTCTGAACAGCAAAATCACGCAGTTCAAACAGCACAACGTCTGGATACAGATGTAACTTGGTCTGAGAATTTTAATATATGCATGCACAGGTGATCTATGACGATTCAAGTTGAGGACCACATTGTTGGAGCCCACCCAGCAATGTGGTCCCATAATTTCAACCTTGTAATTTTTAAGGTTTATTTTGAATATCATTCTTGCAAAGGATCTGCTACCTATAGGCTTGTAGTAGAGAAGAGGGAAACTTTCAAGTATATTCACAGTTAATAAGGCAAAGAAAAGAAACTTTAAGCATGGAATTATTTTTAATTTGGAAGCTAAACATTACACATTTTCTAGTTAAATAAGGTAAATAATATTGTATTATTTCACTTTACACTACAATGAAAACTACAAGTTTCGTTTCCTAGTATTGTCTCTTTTATTGCCTGAAACGTTCTGTTGCAGATGGATCAAAGAGTTCTAAGAGCAGTATGTCTGCATCAAATTATGGATCCAGGTGGAAGTCACTTCTAAATTCTATAGCCAAACAAGTTTCACAGGTTTGTAGATGGATCTCTGACCTATATGTTTTTCTGATTCCCTGGACTTTCTTGTTACTTATGGTTTAATTCTCTGCGGACCATGACTATTGCTGATCTTCTGTCCATGATAGTTGTCCCCTTCATTAGATGGATATTTGGCTGTAGATGTAATGCGTGTTTGTGTGAGTTGGCTCTTTTCTCCGTTTAAGTTAAATTATTTTATAGCATAATCATATATGACATGCTAATGTAGATAGGGACCGTTAGACCATCAAGTGAACAATAATCTTCTATACTATTAAGAGAACCCTCCTTGTCAACTTTTTGCCTCTTTTTTTCCTATTTTGCCCTCACTTTTGATACACAATATTGACATAAGGAGGGAAAAATAGTAATTTTGTATCCTTTGAACTTTTTGCCCCTTTTTCCCTATTTTACCCTCACTTTTGATACACAATATTTACATAAGATAAAAAATATGCACTTATTAAGAGAAATTGTTCCACCGTCATTTTTTCATACAGATAAGTGAAATCATGATGTTTTTTGGATAGTTTGAATGAACTGAAGCGGTTGCGCTTGAGGAGAACGTGGGAGGAGGTGGGCGGTTGAAGAGGCTTTAATTTTGTGCCTTTTGACAAAATGACAATCATATCCCTATTTTTCATATTTTACCCTCATTTTTTGAGAAAATGACAATCATATACCTATTTTTCCTATGACAAAAAAAACAATGCCCTTATTAAGAAAAACTGTCTCATCATCATTGTCTCACACTCTTTTTAAAAATTTTAAAAACTAATCACACTCCTTGATAAAAAAACAAAAAATAAAATGAAATTGTTCACACACACAGTGTGTACTCATCTTCTAGTAGGTCATGAAAAGAAGCTTGAGCTTGGTAGTTGTGAAAACTGAGTTGTATTTTCTGGAGATGGCCATCACCAAAGTGTTTTATACTCACAAAAAGAATACTGGTAATAAATTTCTCCGATTTGATGTGTTTTCTTGTCTCTCACACTTGCACGCACAGAATCAGAAGCACACTTTATTTGTATGTGCATGTACGCGTACTTAAAAAGGTTATCTATCTCAAGAGCTTCTGCATCACTAACTTATAATATCTAATTAAAGGTGCCTCTGTCTTTGGCAATAAGGATAACATCCTTACGAGGAACACTGCGGTTACAAATCAAGCCACCTCCTTCAGACAGGTTATGGTTTGCTTTCACATCCATGCCTGATATAGATTTCAATCTGGACTCGTCAGTGGGAGACCACAAGATTACTAATGGACACATAGCTTTGTTTCTGATCAGTCGGCTTAAGGTACAGAGAATTGCTTCCATATTTGGTAATTTTCCTTCTATTATTTTATTTTATTTTGTTTTGGAGCATGCTTAACTTAATACACGAGGCACGATGTTTGTTACTATGATGTGTGAACTCTCATACATGAGGCACGATGTTTGTTACTAATTACTATGATGTTCAATTTTATGATTTGATGAAACTGCTCCTACATGCTGAATGTAACTACTTGATATTGATCTTAAACTTTTGGCATTTCTAGTGCTTCCAAATGGTATGCACACAATTTTGTGCTTTGGTTTTTGCTTAAAAAACATAGTGATGTGGAATCAACAAACATTATTTGGGGAGGGGTGGGTTCTTATGAAGCTTCATTTCACTTGTACAGACTGCAATCCGGGAAACTCTAGTGCTTCCAAACTTTGAAAGTGTATGCATACCATGGATGCTAGCAGAAAAGGATGATTGGGTACCACGGAAGGTTGCTCCTTTCATATGGGTTAACCCAGAATCTGTGAATGATCCAACCACTGTATGTGAAGTACCCGTCGTCCAACCTAGTGAAGGAAAATACAAGACAGAAGCTAGCAGCGGAATCTCCGTTGATAGGACCAAGCATAAAAAACTGAAGAATACCGAGTCTATTGAACAACCAATTGGTGAATCCTCAGATGTGCTAGCCTTTTCGGTGAGTTCTAATGATCCGTCAGCTGGGAATACTGGCGGGACATGTCAAGAGTTGAGAACTCCTTTATTGGGGAATGGTGAACTAGAGGACAGTTTCAAACACAAGGTAGAGGGTATACCTGAGTCTCAATCACTGTCGAGGTCTTCAATATTGTTGGATAAACAGAATCATAGCTTTGAAGAAGATGACCCAAGGCTAAAGAGAACAGGGAGAAGAGCAAGGATGCTTGATCTGGGGAAGAAGATGGGTGAGAAATTGGAAGAGAAGAGGCGCCAAGTTGAAGAGAAGAGTAGGAACATTGTTGAGAAGATGAGAGGACCATGAGATGGCCAGCACAAGAGACGGTTGCATTACTGATAGGTCAATTATTTGTAAATTTTATTATTTGTTGCCGAAATTCCCGAGTACGGATATCTTTTCTTGCTTCGCATGTATTATACAGATAATTAGCACTAAGGTGTATCCACAAGCTTTGGAGGTTCTCAATTTTCTTTGAGAGTATTGACTTTACAAATTTGTCAGTAGGTCCAGTTGAGAATTGCAGACCACTTGATGTTAAATGTCCTCATTGCCATGGTTGTGGCAGAACAAATTGTATGCAGCTGCTGTGACACCACGCCTCCTCCACTGGTACTGATTGCCTTCCTTGTACAACTATGAGCATGACGAACTAAAACAGCAGTTATAACTACCATCTGCTGTGCATAGTTGCGGCTAAATCAAATGCATGTGGCACTTAGGTGAATTGGTTCATACTGTAAATTCTCGAGCCTTTCATAAATTGTGTAATCCATGTAGTCAACACTCGATATTTGCATGAAACAGATAAATATACCTTATGATGCAATGTAACAGTGACCATTGTTTGACCCAATTTTGATGAATATTAAACTTTCAATTTTACCTAAAAATAAAGTGGCATAAGGGTCGTAATTCAATTAGAAAACATATAGTGACCCCAAACCCAACTGTGTCCAAGGTAAATTACAACCGTGCACAAGGGCAAGATAAACAACCAAAGCGCCTTTCCGTGCCAAGGCAAGGCACATAAGGTTAAGGCATGCCATGGCGAGCATTGTGAGGCAAGGGCAAAGAGTGATAAATAAATAAATTTTTGATTTTTAAAAAATATTTCATAATTTTTGACAAATAAAAATATTATTGTGACCATGTTCGTGATGTTTATTTGGTAACAATTAATCAGCCATCCTTGCTTGAGATGTGTTAGTTGTTGTGATGACTGTGGATCAAAAAATAATCCCAAAATTATGGAGTTGACACGTGAATTATTTCTCAAGAAAGACAAGACTGCCTTTATTAAATGAGCAGAGAGCAGTCTCACGCGCAACTGAGGTGGAGCAGGTAGAGATCAACGACTGCTCAAGATGCCCCTGCCTGTAGGAAAAGCCAAAGGTATTTATGATAGAATAATTCTTTATTCTTATCATAAATACATTCTTAATTAGAGAATTTTTTTTTAAGTAAGTAATTCTAATCCTATTTATTTAGGACATTTACCTAATTATTATAAGATATTTATTTACACAAATATCTTAGAATATTCTCACCCAAATTCCACTCCAGGGCTGGCCACCTCTAAACCCTAGGATATTTACTTAAACCCTAAACCCTAGAATATTCTTCAGCCAAAACCTCCCCATTCATCGTGGACGTGTGAGACTTTTGGCCTTAATCTTAGGTGCTATTATTTTGCAGGTGCAAATTTGTCAATCAAGGAAAGGTGGAAATTTGCATCCATAAATTGGTGTTTTCATAAATTGACCCAAAAAAAAAAAAAATGGTGCTTTCATTGAGAGATCTGATCCGAAGACTCGAAGAAGACTCTCACTTTCAACTTCCTTTGTTCGTGGATCCACGACTATGATGGCAGGAAATTCAGAAACTAGAACCAATGGGACCTCTTACGTTGAAGGACATGGACCAATCAATGGAGATTGCGATGTGGCTCCGCTCCATCGCTTATCGAGGCTCACCACAACAAAGACCGTACTTTTGCCTCCACGAGGTACCGTGTCAATGCTAGCAGCGGCAACCGCCGCTGTAGTGGCCCATTGGGCAGTCTCCGCTCATCGTGAGAAAACCCTAGGGTAGGAGGTCCATAACGCAACCAGCCAGCAAGCGCAGGCTCAAGCAGCTGCTCACCCTAGCCAACAACCCTTTGGCACCTGCCACCTTCACTTGGATACAAGCTGCCCAGACTGAGGCAACCCAAGCCACACCAACTGAGGCGGCCCAATGCCTGTGCGCTAGACCTGTTTTTGCAGCCCTCCAAACGGTCCAGCATAGTCCTAGATCAGTTCACAGCCTAGATCCTGATCTTGAGGCCGACGGTTGAACCAAAGGTATTTTCACCCCCACCTTGTTGCAGATATGACCCATCATGGCTCAAGCTTTGCACATAGAGTCCATTACACTTCCACTACTCATGTAGACGTCTACCATCCCAGCTATTCCACTCAAAATGAAGAACAACACCTATCACGACAGGTTGACGAATTAACAAACACCATCGCATAGCAGACTACCTTGGTGAATCAGTTCCTGCAACGCACCAAGATGTATCATGCCCCAGACGAGGTGTCCTGGAGTAGAACAAAGGTAAGCGATGACGTTTTTTTCCAGCAACATCATGAAAAACAGCCCCTCGACTAGCCACGAACCGAGCGGTCTGGCAGTGTACACTCCCGCCTGGACCTTTGAGATAGCGTATACTCTCATCTTAGCTTGCGGAGGAGCATGCACTCTCAGTTAGGCCCCGAACGAGTATACATTTGCGGTTGCAACCACACTTCGATGATCAACATGGACAACCTTGCAGGCAAAGTGTTCATTCGTGGCTAGGCTTGCAAAGAGCATCCTCCACCTCATATCAGAGTAGGCAACATGACGGATGGAGAGAAGCAATCCCTTAATTTGGCTCAAGTTCAATAGGCTGTCTACGAGTAATTCGCTCGCCTGCCAAGAACGTACCACATGCATCGCATCTACAGCATAGATGAGCCAAGCATAGGGAAGAGCAGCCGAGACCAGCAGGTCGTGACTGAGGGCAGTCGGAAGCCATGTTGCCTCGGTAAAGGCAAATTCAGGAAGAAGTAGAGAAACTTTTGACTGAGCGGTTGTGCGGATTCCAGCACATTGAGATCACATAAAAGGCCATTCGTAGAGACATGGCACACATGGGTAGATCACCTTTCACGGACGAGATTGAGCAGACGGAACCCCTGCATAAGTTCAATATGCTTAATTCACCCTATTTAAAGGAGACAGAGACTTGTAAAGGCACTTGAAGCACTACCACATTGAGATGATCATCTGCAAAGCCAAAGACGCTTAAATATGTTGATATTCGCCACTACTTTGCAG